CTTCATCTCTGCGTGGACTATAAAGGACTAAACGCTGTGAGTGTGGAAAACAAATACCCTCTCCCCCTCCTGAAGGACTTACTAACCCACCTGGCAAAGGGGAGTGTCTTCACTAAGTTGGATTTGAGAGAATAAAGGAGGGAGATGAGTGGAAGACTACTTTTAACTGTCCCATGGGGAGGTACCAATTTAAAGTCATGCCATTTGGACTACAGGGGTTCCAGCAGCTGATTAATCAGGTACTACATGACCATTTATATCAGCGGTTCTCAACCTATGGGTCGGGACCCCATTTGGGGTCGATCGACCATTTCACGGGAGTCGCCAAGCAAGACTGTCCGCCATTTTCCCCCTTTTCTGGCGGGTGCCTTACCTCCCTTGGGCTGGGCCAGCTGGTGGTCCAGCCGGTGGTCGGCCTGCTCCATCTCTGCTGCTTGCTAGCTAAGTCTCGGCCAGTGCAGGGGGTGGCACCACGCATGCGTGGCACTTCCGGGCAGGGAAAGTCCTCGACTTACGACCGGTTGGGTAGTCTTCGATTTACGACCGGTTTAGTCCTCGACTTACGACCGGTTTAGTCCTCGACTTATGACCGGTTGGGGGTCACGGCATTAAAAAGGTTGAGAACCACTGATTTATATAAAGGGGTTTTGGTATATCTTGGTAACATCCTGATATACAGCATGAACTGAACTGACATCCTCCCTTTCGCAGAGGTGGCTTACAATAACTCTGTTCACAGCAGCACCGGCTTCACGCCTTTTAAAGTGGCCACAGGGAAAGAGTTCAGCCCAATACCCGAATATCCTCAGGGACCTTCCACTTCCCAAAGTCTTGATCAAAATACCTAAAGTCCCTACAGCTCTGTAAAAAACTTGGACCAAAATATATAGGACCTTTTCCAATTAAAAGAATCATAAGCCCAGTAACAGTAGAATTAGAATTACCCAAAAATCTCAGGCAAATACATCCAATTTTTCATTGCAGCTTGCTGAAAAGAGAGCATCAGTCACCTTTACGGCCAAAAATCCCCACCACCACCACCTCCAATCATGGTGGAGGGCGAACAACATTTCAAAATAAAGGAAATCCTTGACTCTAGGAGATATGGAGCGACTCAGTACCTAGTTGCCTGGAAACACCTCCCTGCCTCACAAAATGAGTGGGTCCATAAACGTCATGTCAGAGCCCCGAAGCTATTAAAGAAGTTTCACACAGAGTACCCTAACAAGCCTGACTAACTTTTATACCTGTTTTGTTTTCTTTCAGGTGGATCTGTCTTTTTTTTAAGGGGGGTAGGATGTCAGAATCCAATTATATTTCATCTCTAGTTATCAACTATAGAAAACCCCATTTCTGCCTTCCCTGGATTCTGCCATACGGTGAAGGGAAGGGAGTGAACAAAGGGGCTTTATGGCCCTCACTTCCTTCAGTACACTTCAAAGAGACTGAATGTGGATATCGCCAAAAGGACTAACCATAAGGATGGGGCTATTACCTTTCATGTAGTTCTCTCTGAAGTCTCCATCCAGCCGGCAGTTCTTAAGGAAAAGAGGGTGGGAGCGTAATGCCTGAGACTGTCGCTGGAAGAAGGGGGTGATTGGGTGGGGCTACTGGGGAACCCCTTAAAACCTTGAATGGGAGAGCTTGGACCCCAAGTCCTGTCTAGAACGCCTGCAACCATTTTCTCTTAATAAAGGATGCCTGTTGGAAGAATTATTCCAAGAGTTCTGTCTTCTTAAGATGCAAAGTGGGGTGGGTCCTTACAGTGTGAGGGGGTGAGAAGAAGTCTGGAAAACCATGAAAACTGCTTTAAAAAGGCTTCTGAGACATATAAAAAACAGGCAGATAAAAAAGGGCTCCTCAAAGGACATTCCAAGTTGGGGAAAAGGTTTATTTGTCCACAAAATATTTACGGCTTAAGTTACCTAGTAAGTAGCTAGGACCAAAGTACTTAGGACCCTTCCCCATTGCAAAGATTATTAACCCGGTCACGGTAGAACTAAAACTTCCCAGACGTTTAGGGAAAATTCACCCCGTATTTCATTGTAGCCTGCTGAAAACTTTTCGGGATTCCACCTTAAGACCTCCCCTTAAGAAGGCACCTGGACCTCTCGTAGCAGCAGGACAGACTCACTATGAAGTGAAGCGTATTCTTGATTCTAGATTTTTTAAAGGGAAATTGCAGTACTTAGTGCAATGGAAGGGGTATCCATTGTCTGAAGCCACCTGGGTGAAATCTAGCAATGTAAAAGCTGACAAACTCATTAATAGATTCTATAAAAAACACCTAACAAACCTAGAGGCAATCCTTAACCTATGATTTTATTTGCATTACAGGATTTGTCCTTTTTGTAAGGGGGACTGGATGTCAATGCTGCTAACATCGGATATTCTTGCTTTGACAACAGATGGAAATGCAGCCATTTTCTCTATTGCTGTTAGAATTAGTTGATGCTAGGAGGGGGAATAGAGATGAGACTCCAGCTAGTCATAACAATAATAATTTAATCATGGGAACCCAAGGACATTGGACCCAGAACTGATAGTGTTTTGGCAGGCTGGAGGGCTGGGGAGAAAGCCCGTACTTCAAGCTAATTGAGGAATGTGATTTATGATTGTTTATTGGAGGATGGAATTGCACTTTGTTACTTTGTATCCAGGGGAGGGGAATTTAGTTTCTGGTTTCAACTATGTACTGCCAATACTTTGTTTCTTGAATAAAAGATTCTTTAAGGTAAACAATGCCTCGAAGTTCTTTTGAAGAGTTTCATCTGTCAGAACCATGACATTGGGAAGAAAAAGAGGCAGCAATAAAAGAAGCATAAATATAACAAACTAGATTTCATTCGGAAGCCCACTGATTTTGGGATTCTATTATCTGACTCTTGGTGGGCTGCAACTCTCTTTTGGACTGAGGCAACCAAGAACCAATCCAACTTTTTTGGTTTGAACATCTTCTCTATGGCATGAGAAATACCTACTCTCTGGCTTCCTTCCTCCTAATTACTACTGTCATCTTTTCAGGTTGTGACCTCTCTTTGTACTTGAACACTTCACTTGTGCTACTGGTTTTTAATCTTTCCTTGTCAGCCTGAATTTATACCTGATGTGAAACTTGATGAAGATCTCATCTATGTTCTTCTAACCTGCATCCTTGTGCATTAATAGCTTCCACTTATAAATGTTTTTAGAACTAAGTTAAACTCTTTTTTTTTTATTAAAGAGTTTTATAAATTTTACAAAAAATAAGAAACAATACAAAAACAAAAAACAACATATACAAATAAAAAACAAACATTACCCAACAAAACCCCCCTTCCCCCACCCCTACCCAACCCCCCCTTCCCCCCCACAAGGACCTCCCAGAGCAGAATATAGGCTTAATTAAAGAAAAAGTTAAAAAAATTTATAAAAAAAGAATATAAAATAGAAAATATATATATATATAAAGTTAAAAATTATGAAAAAACTATATAATATTTTTTATATCAAATTTAAATTGTATGAATTTTATCCATTTATCCCAAACAGCAAGAAATTTCTCTTGCGTTTGTCCCTTTAAGAAAGCCGAAATCTTTGCCATTTCCGCCAAATGAGACACTTTAAGAAACCATTCCTGCAATGTAGGCAAAGATTCCTTCTTCCAATATTGTCCTACTAACAGCCTCGCAGCTGTTATCAAGTTTAACATCAATATAACCTCCTTTGTGTCACAATCAGTAACTATACCTAACAAAAATAATTGTGGAGTAAATTTTACCCTCCTTTTAAAAATTCTCTGGATATTCCACCATATCTTAATCCAGAATGCTTTTATCTCTCTGCACGACCACCAAATATGATAATAAGTAGCATCCATACAACCACATCTCCAACATTTAGGTTGTAAGTCAGGGTACATAAAAGACATTTTTTGTGGATCAAGGTGCCATCTATAAAACATTTTATAAAAATTCTCCCTTAAGTTCTGTGCTTGTGTAAATTTGACATTTCTCACCCAAATAATTTCCCAGGTGTCCAATGGAACTGGCTCACCAAAATTCTGCGCCCATCTAATCATACAATCTTTAATTAGTTCCGTTTCTGAATCCAATTCAACTAAAACCCCATAGATCCTCTTAATGTGGGTTTGTCTTTGATCCTTCACTTGCTTAATAAGATTTTCATCTTCTCTGTAAAAACCCACCTTACAGTCCATCTTCCATCTATCTAATAATTGCCTATATTGGAACCAAGAATAAATAATATTTTCTTGTGCTAACTCTTCCCGTAATTTTAACTGCCAGTTTTGTCCATCCCATTTAAGTAACTGTCTATAGGACACCATATCCATTTTAACCCCTCTTTTTATTCCTTCTATTGCATGCCAAGGTACGGCCCATAATGGTACTTTGAAATCACTTTTGTAATATTTTCTCCAAACCCTAAGTAAAGAAATTCTTAAGATATGAGATTTAAAAGCCCAATCCATTTTTTTATTAAATATTAAATAGGCATGCCACCCAAAAAGTAAATTCCATCCCTCTAAGTGAAGTATATCAGAATTTGTCAAATTTACCCAGTCACTAACTAATGTTAAAACCACCGCATCATAATATAATTTCAAATTCGGCACCTTGAGTCCTCCCCTCTCACGGAAATCTTGCATAATTTTAAACTTAACCCTTGGCTTTTTCCCTGCCCAAATAAATTTATTAAGGCCTTTCTGCCACTCAGTTAAATTGATCTCATTCTTCAAAATCGGTATCATTTGGAACAAAAAGAGAAACTTGGGTAGAATATTCATTTTTATCACTGCAATTCTTCCCATGAGGGATAATTGCAACTTTTCCCAATTCTTCAAGTCTCTCTGTACCCTAACCCACAACCTTTCATAATTATTTTTAAATAATTTTGCATTAGAAACAGATAGCATCACCCCCAAATATTTTACCTTATTAACAATTTCAAAACCCGTCAAGTTAAGTTAAACTCTTAAGAACAATCAAAACTGCACCTACTAGTGATGGTATTTCCAATTCTGGAGTGGGTGGATGAACCAAAATCTTTGATAACCTCTGAAGAAAACGTAGTGGCTTATGTGGCTCCTTAATATGATATTTCCTGTCTTGCAATATCTGGAAAAGTTGTATAATATAAAAAATCAGTCCATATCTAATTGACCCAACATTATTTTCTTATTTACTATGTACTTTGTTCACAGTAAATAAAATTGTTCATACATTTTACTATATTTATAGAAAATTTCTGATCCTTGAAATTTACTATATTTTTACAATCTAATAAAAAAGGAATTTGGAGGAGAGAACCTGGAGAAAATATAATATTCATTCCGCTTTTAAAGGACTGTATGAAATAGAAATGAAAACAGAAGGAAACAAGGAGACAATATAACTCTGAAAACTAGGAATAAATAACAATTTGGCATATTTTGAATCTGTAATTTTTCTTGATTTCTTACTACAACTTAAGTTACATTCCCAAAACCAAAAGGGCCACTTATATTGCAGGTGCCATGTACCAAAAGTTGAAATGCAATCAGAAGGAATAAAATACCTGGTAAACCTGTGCTAATTCCATCTCTAGTCTAGCAGACCGTTTAGTGAATCCATCTTTTGTGGTTAAACTTCTGGGTTTTGGAGCTTCAGTTCGGGGCTGTGTAACGGAATTAGGAAGAAATGCTTCTAGTTCAAGTAATCCTAAGAAAAATAGATGATGAACATAAGGACTAGAAGATACGTTTTAATATTGATGTAAGAGAACTAACCTTTTTGTCCAAGATATAAATGGAGTTTTCTCATTCATAAGAGTATCTCTATTGGTTTCAATGGAGAAACATAGCTTCCAAAAGTACTAGTGCACAGGATGCATATGAATCTAAGTTCCCACACTGGCAGCTTTGTGTAAACACAGTGATCCTGGAATGAATGAATGTATTTGAACATGACTCACCTTCGTAGGTGTTGAGAAAGGAATTCTTCACTACATAACGATCTGCATGATTATCTGGAAAGTAGCCAATTCTTGATAATGGAGCATAAGGCTGTGATTCATATTCAGTGTATTCCTTAATTACATTTCTTCTCTCTAGTTTTCCCTCCACATTTTTTCCCTTGGCTATTAATCTTCTGATTGCTGTAAATAAATTGCAGATAAAATTACACTGGTTTTAAATATATCAGTTGACCTCTTCATTTCCTTGAAGATTAGGATTTGGCTAATTATTTCCATTTGCTAAGAATGGGATGCTGAAACATTTTGTTGCATTTTTGTTAGCAGCCAGTTACCCAGAGCAGGAATGTGGAGAATATAAACAGGCAATTACAAACATGGTCAGCTGCAATGAATTCATACTATACAAATGCAGTTGTAAGAACCCACCCCACTTTGCATCTTAAGAAGACAGAACTCTTGGAATAATTCTTCCAACAGGAATCCTTTATTAAGAGAAAATGGTTGCAGGCGTTCTAGACAGGACTTGGGGTCCAAGCTCTCCCATTCGAGGTTTTAAGGGGTTCCCCAGTAGTTCCACCCAATTACCCCCCTCTTCCAGTGACATTTTCAGGCATCACAATCCCACCCCTTTTTTCCTTTCTGCCGGCTGGATGGAGACTTCAGAGAAAACTACATGAAAGGTAAATAGCCTCCTTTGTTATGATAAGGCCTTTTGGTGCTATCCACATTCAATCCCTTTGAAGTTGTACCGAAGGAAGTGAGGGCCATAAAGCCCCTTTGTTCACCCCCTTCTCTTTCTTTATGACAGAATCCAGAGAGGGCAGAAATGGGGTTTTCTATAATTGATAACTGGAGATGAAGTATAATTGGATTCTGACATCCGGCCCCCTTAAAAATAAGAGAGATCCACCTGAAAGAAAACAAAACAGGTATAAAAGTTAGTCAGGCTTGTTAGGATACTCTGTGTGAAACTTCTTCAATAGCTTTGGGGCTCTGACATGATGTTTATGGACCCACTCGTTTTGTGAGGGAGGGAGGTGTTTCCAGGCAACTAGGTACTGAGTCGCTCCATGATATCTCCTAGAGTCAAGGATTTCCTTTATTTCGAAGTGTTGTTTGCCCTCCACCATGATTGGAGGTGGTGGGGGGGGATTTTTGGCCGTAGAGGTGACTGATGCTCTCTTTTCAGCAAGCTGCAATGAAAAATTGGGTGTATTTGCCTGAGGTTTTTGGGTAATTCTAATTCTACTGTTACTGGATTTATGATTCTTTTAATTGGAAAAGGTCCTATATATTTTGGTCCAAGTTTTTTACAGGGCTGTAGGGACTTTAGGTATTTTGTAGATAAGTACACCATTTCTCCTATAATGAATGGTGTAGGCTCAACCCTTTTTTTATTGGCTTGTGCTTTGTATGCCTGCCTAGCTTCATCTAGTGCTTTTCTAACTATTGGCCAGGTGTTTTGTAGTTTTTCCATCCATTCTTTCAGTGAAGGGATCGTTGGTTCGTTTGGGGTTAACTCTGGCATGGGGTTGAAACTTTGACCGGTGGCTATTTGAAAAGGAGTGTAACCTGTGCTCGAGTGGACTGCATTATTGTAGGCAACTTCTGCAAAAGGGAGTAAGTCCACCCACTCGGTCTGCTGGAAACTAAGAAAACATCTTAAATATTGCTTAAGTACGGAGTTCATTTTTTCAGCCCCCTCCCCATTTCCTTGTGGGTGGTGGCTAGATGTCAGTCCCTGAGTGGTTCCTAAGAGGCATAAAAATTCCTTCCAAAATGCAGACGTAAATTGCAACCCCCTGTCAGAGATGATGCGTTGGGGTGCCCCATGCAATCTGTAAATGTGCTGGATGAAAAGTTTTGCTAAGGCTTTTGCAGTGGGAATCTTTTGGCAAGGGATAAAGTGCACCTGTTTGGAAAACAAGTCCGTGACCGTCCAGACCACAGTATTCCCATTGCTTTCTGGCAATTCCACTATAAAATCCATGGCTATTTCTCTCCAGGGGGCTGAGGGACTTGCCACTGTTTGCAATAGTCCTGGTGTTTCCCTTGCAACCTCTTTGCCGTGGCACATTTTGGACAACTGGCTACATAACTTTCAATGTCCTTTTTCATGGATGGCCACCAAAATTGCCGTTTAATTAAATGTAAAGTTTTTACAAATCCAAAATGCCCTGCTGATTTTGTGTAATGGCAAAGCTGCATGAAAGTGACTCTTTGGGTTGTTGGTATATATAACTTTTCCCCTACCCAAGGCAACCCGTCTCTCATTGTGTACACACTTTTGTTTTTCTGGAACCATTCATCTGTTTCCAAACTTTTTCTGAATTCAATTCCAGTTTGGCTGTCCAGTTGTGGTTTTAATTTGGCTTGGGTTCTTGTGGTTATTGGTGCTGCCAGTTGTGACTCTGCCATTATTGGTTTAGAGTCTGTGGTTCGTGTGCTGTTATATTGAGGCATGCGAGATGGGATGGGACCAGCGGGCTTGTTTGGGATTGAGTTTCCTGGACGTTTTCAGGGCTTCCAAATTTTTGTGATCAGTCCACACCTGGAAGGGGATTTTGTTGCCTTCCAGGAACTGTCGCCACGTGAGTAATGCCCAACATATCCCATAAGCCTCCGTCTCCCATACGGGCCAGCGCTGTTCTGTTTCCGTGAGTTTCTTGGATGTATATGCACAGGGTTGCAATACTCCATCATCATTTTCTTGTAATAGAACAGCCCCCACTGCCACATCACTTGCATCTGCCTGTATTACGAAGGGCTTGTCCATGTCTGGGTGCCTTAGTACTGGTTCGGCAGAAAAAAGTATCTTTAGTCTCTCAAATGCTGCTTGGCACTCCATTGTCCATGTTAGTGGCTGGCTAGGTTTTACTGAGGATGCTCCCTTCGTTTTTAGTAAGTTAGGGAGGGGCAAGGCTATCTGGGCAAATGAGGGGATGAATTGGCGGTAAAAGTTTGCAAAGCCCAGGAAACTTTGTAGTTGCTTTCTTGTGCGGGGTGGTGCCCAATCTAATACGGCTTTGACCTTCTCTGGGTCCATTTCAATGCCCTGGGGGGATATGCGATAACCTAGGTAGTCTATCCTTTCCTGGTGGAATTCGCATTTTGAGAGTTTGGCATATAGGTGGGCGGCTCGCAGCTTCTTTAAAACCGCTATGACAAGGTTGACGTGTTCCTCTTTTGTTTCAGTAAAGATAAGAATGTCGTCCAAGTAAACAAGGACCCCCTTAAACAGGTGCTCCCTTAGAACGTCATTGATTAATTGCATAAAGACTGCAGGGCCCCCTTGTAATCCAAATGGCAAGACTTTGAATTGATAGCACCCCATGGGGCAGTTAAATGCAGTCTTCCATTCGTCCCCTTCCTTAATTCTCACATGATAGTAAGCTTCCCTTAGGTCTAGTTTAGAAAAAATGTTCCCTTTCGATAGGTGTGACAGCATGTCTTTCATGAGGGGCAGAGGGTATAGGTTGCTTTCACTGATTGTATTCAGGGCTCTATAATCCACGCATAAAAGTAAAGAGCCATCCTTCTTCTCTCTAAACAGGACCGGGGCAGCCACTTTAGGCTTGGCTGGCTCAATGAAACCTCTCTCTAGGGTTTTTTTATGAATCTTTCCATTTCCTCCTTTGGGCTCATGGAGTATAATCTGGGCTTCGAGAGTTTTGCCCCAGGCTTGAATTCAATGGTACAGTCTGTGGGTCGGTGGGGGGGGAGCTCATTCGCCCTCTCCTCACTGAAAACTTCAGCAAGGTCTCTATATTCCTCTGGTATTTCTGTTAATCTTTTTTCCTCTCCTATGGATGCTTTTTCTATTCTTGATTCTGGTAGCCTCCCTTGGGGTTTTAAGTCCATAGGGTTCCCCTTCGGGAATTTGATTTCTGTCGTCCTCCAATTTACCCAGGGGTTCCATTTTTTCAACCATTCCATCCCTAGAATCATTGGGCATTCCATACCTGGGGTCACCACAAACGTTAAGTCCTCTTCATGGTTGCCCAGGGAGAGGTGTATTGGCAGAGTGGCTAGGGTAGCTGGCACCCCCCCTGCTATGGATCCATCTAGCTGGCCAAATGAGATGGGTTGTTCCAGTCTCCTGGATGGGATGCCCAGATTCCCCACTAGTGTTGGGCTAATGAGGCAGCGGGTGCAGCCAGAGTCTATTAAGGCTTTCACCTTCACAGCTTCGGGCATGGGGGGAATTAATATAGTCACTGTCTTGAGGATGGGTGTAATGTGTCCACTTACCAGGGGTTCGCCCTCCGAGCTGTCATCTGAGGCATCCACCGGCCTGTGGTGTAGGCTGGAGTTCTTTCCCCTTGGTGAGCAGAAGTGGGGGGTTCCGCAATTTCCATCATTCTCATGGCAGTTTCTTTTGGCTTACTGAAGACTTTCCGGATTTGTTGATTGGGGATCTGTCTGGGTTGTACTGGGGGGCTTTGGAGCGGCATTCTACAGCTCGATGCCCTTCTCTTCCGCACTTGAAACACCCCATTTGCTTCTTGGCTGTAGCCGATGATTTCACCGGTTTGTGTGTCAGCTCAGGCGGCTCCATTGTTTTCCTCAGCGGTGTCTTTTCAATATATCGATCTCTGTTTCCTCTGCCAAGATGTACCATTCCTCAAGTTGGTGTGGGTCCCCTCGGGGCAGGCAAGCGTCATATAGATCATAATTTAGTCCGTCTTTGAAATGGCTAAGGAGGATGTCTTCTGGCCAATTCAGTTTGCTGGCAATGGCTCGGAATTCTTGTGTATATTCAGCCACCGGGCATTTGCCTTGCCTCATCGTTTTTATCCTTTCATGGGCTTTGCGATCAGCCAGGGGGTCTTCAAATCATCTTCTCAGAGAGGACATGAAACGGTTGAAGTTACTGAGTTCTGGGGCATTGGAGTCATGCAAGTTCACCACCCAATCTTCAGCCGGTCCGTCCAGGGCAGATTGCACGATCCGGATGTGGGCTTTGTCGCTGGGGATGTCCTGCCTGTATTCCTCCATGTAGCTGAGGACTTGGATTAGGAAAAACCCCAAGCGTGTTGGCTCCCCTTTGAATTTCACCTCCAATGGCGGACGTCTTGGAATGGATCAGTGCCTCCATTGTTGGTGGTAGTGTCTTCCGTCCAGATTGCCATCTGTGGTCCGGTAGGGGGTGGGGACTACTGGATCAGCAGATGTCCCCAGGGTTGCAGGTTCCACGTCCCCCTCGGTGTGTCTCCCTTTGCGGCTCCAGGAGCTGGGGCGGCTGTAGGGCTCAGGATTCTCCTCTCTTAGGGAGCTGAGAGTTCTCTTCATCAGGTCAATAGCTTTCTCTAGGATCCAGTCTGAGTACGGTGCCCAGTTTTCTCCCTCTTCACTTGCGTGCAGGGATTTCTCCATCTCCTGTTTCCATTATGGTTGCTTGGTCCCCCGTCTCAGGGTCACCTATCTTGATTCCTTTCCCCACTCACTTTTCTTTCCAACGCCCATTGACCAGCAAGGCTTGTGGTCCCGTGTCTCCACCACTTCTTCTCCTGAGGAATCTGACCTCTCGGATCCCAACATCTGGCAAGGTTCCAATTTGGTCAGCGGCTCTCTTTCCAGGGAGTTTTCCCCCTTTCTTGCTCCATTGTCTGACATGGTAATTTTTTGCAAAATCCCCCGGCAAGGGTCTCCCTTCCAGGTGGATTAATTTTGCAAGTCCTGTCTAATGTAAGGACCCACCCCACTTTGCATCTTAAGACAGAACTCTTGGAATAATAGTCCTAGCCATGTTGTGTTGCATCAATTTTCTGAAGCTTGAATCAAATCATGCTGGCCAAATGGATAGCTCTAACCTAGGGGTTCCCAGCCGGGGGTGCGAGACGATATTCCAGAGTGCGTGAAAACTTGGGTTTAGAAGTTTCAAAATTATAGTGTATATGCATAATTCATTTTGAACTTTTGTATATTTTGCGAGAATATATCAGAAGCGTTCTAGGGGGGCGGGGTATAGAAAAGATTGGGAACCACTGCTCTAACCAATTATTGTCCTTGCAGATCTTTAGATGTTAATATAATCTATGCCAGACATCTATACTGGAAGTTATTACATTAATTTAGTGCTGAGAATAAATTGGCAGAAGATGAAACTGATTTTGAAGATAAGCATTCTATCATGGACCTAGTGTTAAACCATTTAGTCAGAAACAAAAAAATGACTCTACATGTAGCATTTGTAGACTTCAAGATTTGTAGAATTCAAGATTCTTTGACATTTTGCCAATGAAAAAGTTTCTTGCCATCCACAATCATATTTCTATAGGTTCAAAATTATGATCAGAAATTAGGAATTATTTTGTGGATATTGGGAACAATCTATATGTCTTGACAGACAGAAATTAAAATATTCAGCTAATTGCTGAAGATGTGTTCAACAATCAATACTGTGATTAATCTTAGATCCTTTATGTAGAAGCAATCTCATTTTGTTTTGGAAGATTTATTGGTTTTGTAGGTGTTCAGACTCTTTTCAATTACATAGTAGTAGTGTGAAAGCTAACAAAAAGACAATGGAATATGCTTGTAAATAGGGTTGTTACTACCAGAGATGAATGCATGCGTAGTCTCTGTCAATTATTCAATGATGTGTGTGTGTGTATGGGGCAGGGGGTTGTTCGCTTTCTATTTCTCAACAAGCCTTCTATTGCTAGAAATTTCAGCTCTCTTGAGAGTATACTTACTATGTAATGATTTTGCTCCATACCTTTTATGTGTTCATGTTGAATCTTTTTCACTTTTTTTTCTTTTTCTTGCATGAGTTTAAACCAGTGTGTATCTAAGCAACTGACATTTAATTCATTGTGCTTCTCTTCTCGCTTCATCAACAAGCCCTTTAGAAGGTTTAGTCTCACTTCTTGCAGTCTTCAAAAGAGCAAATATATGTCCATTTGTTATAAATATAAATATTATTATATCCCTTATCTATTAAAAGGAATAATGATGAGTTCTTTATGTAGAAGATATAAAATAGATTCTCAAGAGAACTTTATATGAAGTTCTACTAAACCTGGTATTGGAAATAGTGTATAAGAAATTAATAATAACATAATTTAGATGTCTACAACAAATGGCTAGGGTACTATGTAGCACCAACCATGCATTGCCAAAAACTTTAAAAAACTTGTTTTCTGAGATTGCAGAACCCAAAGGCAGATCAGTAAACATCTGACAGGATAATGCGCCATTAGTAGACTGCATGTAGCTTAACACAAATCTCTCTTATGCTAAGGTTTAATCTTATAAATTGTTATATTACAATATAACATACAATCTCAATAGTGAATATTGTATATAAAAAGAAGACTTTCCATAATCATTATTAGGTTTGATTTTGACTGACACATATTAGCTAACAATTCATTTTCAGGCCTACAAATACAGACTATCAAGCTTATTTCTGTTTCCAGTAACCAAGAGAAATAACCAGTGTATTGGTTAAGATATGAGGCTATAAATCAGAAGATTATGAGTTCTAGTCCTACCTTAGGTACAGAGGCAGCTAGATTACCTTGGGCCAATCACTTGCTCTCACCCGCTAGGAAGGAGACAATGGCAAATCACTTCTGAAAAGCCCCAACACGAAAACTGACAAAAATTCATTTGAAGGCACACACACAGAGCCAACAGAAATAGTAACTTTATATACATTTGAAAACTGTGTGGATTTTAGTTCCTGAAATTTATATTTAAAAACGGGAGGTTAAAAATTGCAAAGGCTTGTGTACCTCCCAAAATCCTTATAGAATGCTCTTGTTGTAAGTTAGCAACATGAGGCCTTGGATAACATTTAAACTGCATTTAAATGCATACTGCATTTCAGAATGCAATTCTATATGGACAGTTCATAACCAGCCAAAAATTCCTGTCTTCCTTTTAAGTGCTAACTTGAAGAATTTTAAGAAATTCAGAAGCTTACACATATTATAAGTATTGCCTCTTTGATATTTTATTCTAATTATGTCTTAGTGTTTCAGTTTAGCAGAATTCAGTCAAAGAGCAACAAGGGGCCATCAGAAATCCAAGAAACCAAATTTGAACCGAGTGACATTTGGGGCCAAGAAGTATTCAGATAACACACACAGTTTTCCCTCCAGATATTGCTTTATCCCATTACCAAGTCTGCAGATTCCAAAGGATGAGGGTAAGAACACAGGAAGATAACAGCTACCTACTCTTCTATTTCTTCCTCCCGAAAGGCCCACTCCTTTCTCTCCATTTCCTCCATCATTTTCCTCCGTTTTGCAATGTGTGCAGCATCATTCAGCGGTGGAAGAGTGGCCTCCCAGGCTCGTTTCTCCCGGGCTCGTTCTATTACTTCTACTTCTGCCTGAGTTGCTGGAAGGCCATGACCTTGAAAGAACAGGAAACAATAAACAGACAGACAGCTCAGAACACAGTATTGTGAGGCATATGAGCCAAAATATTATTTTAAATTCTAGTATAATGCAAAATTCTAAAGCTAAAACTACCCCTTGAAAAATAAATGATTAGAAGAGGCCATTTTAAGCCATCATATCCAATCCCTTCCTCAATGCTGGAATCCAAAGAAACGCATCCACCCATTTACCACCCCATTTGATAATCCCCATCAAACCCTTTTCATAATATGAAAATTGGAATCTGCTGTCCTATAATCCAGAACCATTATTTTATTCCTTACACATGTTTGAAAAGTGCTATCATATCCCTTCTCTAGTATCTTAAAATTTAAACAAATCAACTTCCTTAGATGCTCTTGGAATTTTTTATTCCACTGATTCCTGTTGTTAGATTCCTTTTTCTGAATCTATAAATCTTGATCTGCTTCTAATGCATCTTGGGGTGTATCTGAAGAGTATAATTTCATTTTGCTCTATGCAGAATTTTTAAAGAGGAGTTGTGTACAAAAATAATATTGTTCACAGTAATGTTTTAATAATATGATTAAGTGAAAAGATCCTAATTTTTTGTTCTACCCTTGTCTTCTTTTGGGAGCTTGCTCTCTGCTATACAATTTAGGTATGAAACTCCTTTATTTTATAATTAATATTATAGTTTCTTTCCTTCAGATGATAAAGTGTATGCACTGATGAGGATACAATGGATGTGACTGGTCTTAAAATCTACCTGCTTCCATTATATTTCTGTAACTTTACTACTTAGCTATTGTCAATAAAAGGGGAACAATTGGCAGGATGGAAGACAGGCAAATAGGGATGGAGTTCCTGACACAAATTAAGTCAATGAACTTTGTAAAGCACCCTGACTATTGGAATTGCTAAAAGTCTTAAGTGCCCTTGTAATAGATATGAGGTTGTTTCTTCTTTGACAGCCAAAGGTATGAAAGGTCACGTCATGGGAGGTTAACTGTATTACAGAAAAACATTGTACCCTGTGTGCCTCATACATTCATCAATTCCTAAACTCACCCCAAGTCAGCGTGGCAAGAGTTAACAATTCAGGTATTGAACCTGAAGGTATTATGTATTCAGGGCTATAGGGGTCTGTCTGAGCTTCACCATCCCGATAATCTGTTTGTGTTTCCACGGTTCGTGAAATGAGATAGGCTGGTTTGTCCTTGGATTTGGAGGGATGAGTCTGTAGCTCTGACCTAATATGCAAGGAATCAAGCAACATCTTTCAAAAGTTCCTACATGATTAAAATAAGATTTTAGTTATGTCACATTATAGTATGCTCTTTTATTATTGTTATTCCACAATGTTAGTAACAAAGTTCAAAAATATTACATTCCATCCTTCCTAAACCACCTTAATCTTGTTATTTCCTTTTATAAATTACTTTCCTCATTATTTTGTTGCCCTTGGATTCTGTTATTAACTTAACGCAACACACACACACACACACACACTTCATTCATTTTCCCAGTCTTCCACCTAGGACAGGGGTAAGCAACCTTGCTTCTTTTATGACTTGTGGACTTCAAGTCCCAGAATTCCTGAGCCAGTCATGTTGGCTCAGGAATTCTGGGAGTTGAAGTCCACGAGTCATAAAAGAGTCAAGGTTGCCTACCTGACCTAGGACATAGAGATATATAAATACATGTGTAGTTCATATGAGCATCCCAGGAATTGAGGGAGGCTCTGTGTGTGCCTGCCTATGCTTAACAATATTTAATCTAAACTGTTTTTATGCTTTTTAATGCAATTATTAGAAAAACTAATATCTTATCATTTCAGTGATTAAACATTAGAGCTAATACTGATTTATTACTTACTTTGACATTGCATAAACAACATTCAGTGGAATTGGCTTATCAAATGGGATGAAAGGTCTAAAAATAAAAACAAAATTAAGAATAAACCAATGAAACAAAAAGGATATTTCTTCACTTATAATCTCAGGACTTTTATTTCACCAGCAACTACATATTACTTAACTGATTACTTTTCAATAACTTAACTGATTTGAAATTGTCTATGGATATTTTAATTTTTGTTTTATATATATTTTAAACTGCTGAGAGTTGCTTGATTGTGGTTGGATAAAAGTTTGCTTAAGAAATAAATAAATAATAACTAGTCTCCCTTACCTATTGCAGAAATATATGTTTTCATTTCAATTTTCATTTCAAACATATGATACTAAGCTTTTTATGTATATATATAAAAAAATCTGCAAACTTTTTGACTTATTCTTGACAAGTTTGAGAGTAATGTATTTTCAATACATTCAAGCCTTTTCTGTAGTGGCTCCGACCTGGTGGAATCAACTTCCCCCCGAGGTTCGAACTACTCCCACACTGCCGGCCTTTAAGAAAGCCATTAAAACTCTCCTGTTCCGGCAGGCCTGGGGCTGATGTCCCGGGGGGGGGGGGGATATGATCGGATACGCTGTATGAATGTATTTATTTTATTGTTTTATTTTCAGATTATTGTTTTAATTTTGTATGCCGCCCTGAGTCCCTTGGGACTGGGCGGCATATAAATTTTAGAAATAAATAAATAAATAGTTGAAAAACTTTGTATTAAAAAGATAAAAACAATTAGTATTGTTTCTTACAACACATATGGAACTCTTGTAATCTATACTATGTCATATTTATCTTTAACCAAGGCATCTGATCAAGACGCTCCTGAACCTATAAGTACTTGGGGGAGGGTGCATGTGTATAATTGAAATTAGGAAAAAAACTTTATTTCTAAAGTACTTTGGGAAGTATTTTGGCAATAGCTATTAATTTGGTCATTGAAATTTAGTTTATATGCTTTCCACCTTTCAAAATATTTCCAGCGATTCCTTCCACTAACTTCAGGATCTTCATATTCAATTCTGGGCACCTGAAGTGAAGGTGGGGTTCTATAAAGAAAAAATAATATATACAAATTATTAGTAATCAGATATTTCAGAGAAATGTAACACTCTAATTTTTTTATAAAGCTTGTTTTTAAAAGTTAATGGGGCTTCAATAGGTAACTACCAACAACACCTTGAAGTGACAAGGGTGAAGCTTTTTCAAACTTTACTAGGAACTTTTGTAGCTGGACCACATTTACATAGCTTTCCTCAATGGGATCTGCTTTTCATGCTTTAACAGTTACTCATTCCCAGAGATTGCATAACTCAAAGCAAGTCTGAACTGCAGACTTCATGGTCTGCTAACAATATCATGAGTCACTGTACAGGAAAACTTACAACAATTGCAAACGAATCATCATTTGGCTTTCTTTAAAAATATAAAATATAAGGACACTTACACCACAAGCTGCTGAAAAGTCTCAAAGCATTGTTGTGCCCTTCCTCTCCACCTTCGATCAATGAATGGAGGAACAGGATTTTTTTCTTCTAATTGCACAAAGTACGATGGATAGTGAATCAAATTACTAAACATGGCTTTAAATTCTGGTACTTTTCTCTTTTTATATGAAAAAAGACAGAAGTGCAACATTAAATATTATTATGTTATACCTAAGGCTTAAATACAAATATAATTAATACAAATATAATTCATCATTCATCACTGGTTCCTTTTGCGCGAAGCGCCTAAGGCAGCAAATTTCTTCCAATGAATCCTATCTGTGGCAGTGTCTTTGGCATCTTCAAAAATGAGAGCCAAGTCTTAATATTTTCTTCATATAAATGACTTAAAACAAGCAAAATCTTAAAAAGTTTGACAATTATCATAAGAATTATATCTGTAGTTGTATATAATTAGTTTTTCATACAAATATAATGATATACAAATACAAATATAATTCTTATGATAATTGTCAAACTTTTTAAGAATCTACTGTTTTAAGTCATGTATATGAAGAAAATATTAAGACTTGAACTCTCTTTTTTGTGGGTTTTTTTTCCTTTTGGAACTTGTTTATTCTTAGACTGTTCAAATAACTAAAATATTCAACTGCTAATATAGGATTTACCATACTTTCCAGACAGAAATAACAGCTTGTGCAACAGAATTTTATTTTTAGTAAAACATTACAAGTAAGCTAAATCTATACTAATTAGTAATTTAATTTTCTTCTTTACTATATACAGTATAAAAATTATTGAAGAATTGTATTAGTCATGGATAGAATAGTTTTATATTTAACTTGGCTATACACTTATATACATACATATATTCCACTATTCGGGTAGCTTGACATGATCACAACTCAAACCAAAATTTCTGTGGCTAAGCAAGACAATTAAATGAATTTTGCCACATTTTATAACCTTTCATGCCACAATTGTTAAGTTAATGACTGCAGTTGTTAAGTTAGTAACACAGTTGTTAAGTGAATCTGGCTTCCCCATTGACTTTGCTTGTTAGAAGATTGCAAAAGATGATCACGTGACCATAGGGCACTGCAACCACCATAAATATGAGTCAGTTAACAAGTGTCTGAATTTTGATCATGTGACCATGGGGATGTTGCAATGGTCGTAAGTGTGAAAAATGGTCATAAGTCACTTTTTTCAGTGCCATTGTAACTTCAAATGGTCATTAAATGAACTGTTGTAAGTTGAGGACTACCTACATTTCTGTGTGCTAAAAAGGTTGGAAATTTCTGTTTACATAAACATCTCAAACTATTATTAAAAGAAATCATGCAACAATCTATATCAGTGATGGCGAACCTTTTAGAGACCGAGTGCCTCCAAACCACCCCGCCACCTGTCCTCGCTCCGCCGTGCCTGCTGGACCACCCACCACCTCCATGGCCCACCACAGATCACCCAGGCAGTCCAGCAGCGCCATGGTGGCCACGCCCTCCACCCATGCATTGCAGCATTATCTGCGTGCGATGGGGTGCAAGGGCGGAGTCTTGTCCCCGCTGCCCGGCTATCATGTCCTTGGCTGCGCAGCATTGCGTAGACCATGTCCAGGGGTGACTCTCCTCCGGAGGGCTGCTGGTGAGGAGGGGGTCGTGGGAGGAGACGGGGCTGGGGCGACAGGGTGTGTGCCCACAGAGAGGGCTACGAGTGCCGCCTCTGGCACGTGTGCCATAAGTTCGCCACCACTGATCTATATCTATATGATATATGTAGATATAGGTACAAACAATGCATTATTTTTAAAGTTATATTTCCTGTGAAATAGATTTCAAAATACCTAGCAACAGCAAGTTATTTTTCACAGAAATACAAGTACTCTGAAAGAATAGTTTTAGACTGTAATCACGTACCATTTCATCATGAATAAGATGAGCTTGGACATTTGCCTGTGCATGATCTTTTTCACTTGATAGCTCATACAATGGATCTAAAATACATATATAGAAATGGAAACATTTTAATAAATTTAACAAAATATATTAGGCTAAACAATCCTGTTAAGCATCTATTTATTCGTAGCTTATATCCTTTCTACTTGGGCTTCAAGTTTAAGAGTGAAACTACCTTGCAAGCTCTGGTATAAATTCTGATGTAAGAAGTGGATATGGGAAATTAATTGTGATGATACATTGGGAATTCTCAATAGCTTTTATTTATATTTGTCTTTTTATAAATGAGGTGGAGTAGAGAAATACAAAAGCAATCAAGTCATTCAATGAAACAGTAAATGCATACAAAAAGCAAGTTAAAATTACTCTGTATTTGCAAATGAATGTTAGGATGAAAAAATTGTGATTCAGTTTGTCATAAAAACATTTTTAAGAAGTACCATTCACAATCAAGACAGTTATAATTATGATATCCATAACAATCATATAAAGTGCAAAATAATGATCAATGCCTATTACATAGATTAATTTTTAGTGTGAATGGTCTATAACAGTACAGGTAGTCCTCAAATTGCAACCACAGTTGACCCCCAAATTTTCATTGCTAAGCAAAACAGTTAAGTGAGTTTGGCCCCATTTTATGATTTTTTTTTTGTGCCATAGTTAAATGAATAATGCAGCAAGTGAATCTGGCTCCCCCCACTGACTTTGCTTGTTGAAGCCGGCTGGGAAGGTTAGGAATAGTGGTAACATGATCCTAGGACAATCTGTCATAAATACATGCCACTTGCCAAGTATCCTTCATGACAATGAAGACACAGCAATGGTCATAAGTGTGTAAACTGATCATAAGACACTTTTTTCAGTGCTGTTGTAACTGTGAACAGTTAGTAAGCAAATGGTTGTAAGTCAAGAATTACCTGTAATAGAAAAATCTAGGATATATATGGATTTTATAACTACCAATTATCAGTGACTCTGATTTCAAGATGTGTTTACCTACACTTAGTTTAATTAAGATGACCAGTCCAATTTTCTTAGTCCAGAATACACTGAATCACAGAATTACTTCAGAAACTGGACTAAAATTGGCTGGATGGTTTGTGGCTCAGTGTGCCCTGCAAATCAAGCCAGTCGATTCCCGAAAGTTCACTTCCCCGGCCGCTATAGAAAAGCAAGCCCCATCAGCCCTATCCCCTTGGTTACCATAAAGGAAATCAAAAGCCCGGTTGGGAGCCATCTTCCTCCGATACCGGATCCCAGTGTGGTCCAGCGGCTGAACAACGGTCACCGATTGAGTCATCTTGCGGCCACCTTGGTCTCAGCCGCCGCTTCGGATGGTTGTCGGCGCCGTTCACATAGCAACCGTTTCCCCAGCAACAGAGCCGAACTAAAAAGACTCATGTCATTTCCTGGAACGATACCAAAAAGCGGACGTTGGAGTGCAAATTGCCGAGCCGCTGTGTCGCTTGGAGTCTTGACGCTTTGGCCAGAAAAAAGGAGCAATGCGTCAGTATCAACAAGGCTTTTCTTTCACATTTGGACGAGTTAGGAAAAGAGCATTTCCATTAAGAATATATTTTTGGGAGAATTTGTCTCGAAAACTCAAACTAGTCACCCAGAAAATTGAAAAGAAGCCACCGGGTATTATAAATTCCAATGTAATGAGCCATTTGTATAACATCTATGCGCCTGGATGGGCGAATTTGCTTCTAGTCGACTTTTGTGACTTCACGGACGTATCCACTTACCGTCTTCCATGTTTTGTTTTGTTTATTTACCCCCTACGTCCAGGGATTGTCTTCTCTGTTCTGATCAGATCCGACGTTGTTTATAACATTCTGCTGCCACCTAGTAGAGCTTTACGGGCATTACCTCAATAAAAGCATTTATTTTAAGAATTCAAAATAAACAACGAAACTACTATTTAAAACTACAGTATACAGTAGTTCGAAAGTCCACCTGACCTAGTTGACAATTCCTTAGAGAATGAAGGGGAAAAAGTCATATTGTAGATCAAAAGGAATAATGATCTTAAAATTAAAAAATAATGATCTTAAAACTAAAAAACTAAAAGGATTTATTTGCGGCTCGGTTACTTCGGGGGCCATTAGACAGTCTGCCGTAAAAAAAGTTGACCAGTAATCTTAAATGCCTCGTTGTCCTCCATCAGAAGAAGCATCGCCGCATTTCCTTAAGAAACTTCTTCATCCTCTGCTCGATCTTGGATTATTCCAAGACAAGGTTTGCATATAGAACAGGGGTCTTCAAACTCGGCCCTTTTATGACTTATGGACTTCAACTCCCAGAATTCCTCAGCCAGCGTGCCTGACTGAGGAATTCTGGGAGTTGAAGTCCATGAGTCATAAAAGGGCCGAGTTTGACGACCCCTATATAGAACGTGGGAGATGTGACGTCACAAACAGCTGGGAGTACCGTAACCTAGTGGCGACGACGGAAATCCGAGACCGAAACTGTCCTTCCCCATAGGCCTGCGTCCTGGCTGCTTGGGCGCATGCGCAAAGCAGAAGGGATGTCGAACCTAGCCTCCTGTGATCCGGCGGGTCTCCAAGCCCCCACTCAGGCGGAGCAAAAGCCGCCTCCTTCGCTGAAGCCGTGTTGTGCCTGCCCCGAGACGAAGCAGGCGCGCGACGCCTGGTGGGTAACGGGGGTTACGGGAGAAAGGGCACGTGGGCAAACTAGGAACCTCGCTGTGACGTGCGTAGGCGTGGGGCGCCATGGTCAGTTTTGCACTTCGGCAAACGGTATCGAAGTAGCCAAACCTCAGAAGTCAATTTCCCCGGGTGTTTTTAAACGCTTCTTCTAGACTGGTCCAAAGTCGGGAAATGGCTAGTAGAACGTTTGTCCTAGTTATTCCGTGATAGGAGAAAGCGCCCCTCGTTGCTGGAGCAACAGAAATGTGCTGTTTCTCGATTAAGTCATAAAATAGTCTCGCGTCTTGTTCTAAAATGAATGCGTGTATTTCTTCCTGGGTAGAAATGGTGATATCAGATAATAGACGAGCTTAAGATTATTGTTAAATGTTTTAAACTCGGTTTTCAAACATTTAAAAATGAAGCCTTGCCAGTACTAGTACGAACGATTTATTGGAAAAGATTGCCTGGAAAACAAAATCATATTATTATTGAAATTTATTATGGCACTTTATATTTAGATACATACAAAATATGTTGTGGCTTCAGTCATAGATTGTCAGAGCACGCATAGTCTTATTGTGCTGAGGTAACCCAGGAGTAAATACAGTAAACAGTGGTTTGTATTAAATGTGGTTTATATTACACACTATCTACAACTATACACTAGGAACAAAATATATACACGTGATCATTCAGCAAACTCTAATACATAGCAGTTACAGCAGGAAATGGACTGGAGAGAAAGACTCTAGCAAGGCCTTTCCTTTTATACTCAAGCTCTTAAAGGGATACAGACACCTGCTGAGTCATTTCTAACATTGCATCATTCATCTCATGTTATACAAGCTGGTTAGCTTCTAAATCAGATGTCAAACTCGCAATGTCATGTGACATCACGCAACATATCGGACCTTTTTCCCTATTGCCAGCAATGGGGTTGATGCGGTTTTCTGGTGACATGTCTGGCTCGAGGGCCGGCAGTTTGACACCCCTGTTCTAAATCATTACCTTGACATAGACCAGGGTAGGCAACCTTGGCTCTTTTATGACTTGTGGACTTCAACTCCCAGAACTCCTGAGCCAGGAATTCTGGGAGTTGAAGTCTACGAGTTATAAAAGAGCCAAGGTTGCCTACCCCTGACATAGAGCATGAAGTGGCTAATAATTATTGAACTGCCAACTTAGTATTAATACTGTATGGAGCAATTTAACACCCCGTTAGTATTAAAAACTTGCTGAATAATGTGCTTTAAGTCGAATATAACAACCTTCATTCTCGAAAGCTATGCAGAAGACAGTTATTGGGTATGGATATTGCTTTTTGTAAGGGAAACTGGGTTGGTCTTATTTAAATTAGAGGACTGGAGGCTAAAACATATAAGGAACGGTTGCTAGAATTGGGTATGTCTAGTTTAACGAAGAGAAGGACAAGGGGGGACATGTTAGCAGTATTCCAATACCTCAGGGGCTGCCATAAAGAAGAGGGAATTAAGCTATTTTCCAAAGCACCTGAAGGCAGGACAAGAAGCAATGGGTGGAAACTAATCAAGGAGAGAAGCAACCTAGAACTAAGGAGAAACTTCCTGACAGTGAGAACAATTAATCAGTGGAACAGCTTGCCTCCAGAAGCAGTACATGCTCCAACACTGGAAGTTTTTAAGACGAGACTGGACAGCCATTTGTCCGAAATGGTGTAGGGTTTCCTGCCCGAGCAGGGGGTTGGACTAGATGACCTCCAAGGTCCCTTCCAACTTTACTACTACTATTATTATTATTATTATTATTATTATTATTATTATTATTATTATTATTATTAAATACACTGAAGTTATTCTTTAATCCTAAAATTTTCAAGCCTCAGGGGAACTTGTTAATTACACTTTTGAAAATACCTAGCTTAACAGTGTCTCAATTCATTTTACCATATATTTAAAATATATGTGGACAGATTCTCACAATTTCTAATACCTAGTTAAAAAAAGATTTACTAAGACAACTTTTTAGAAATTAAAAAAAACAGTTTAAAAACAAAGCATACTATAGCTCAGGGGTCTTCAAACTTGGCCCTTTTATGACTTGTGGACTTCAACTCCCAGAATTCCTCAGCCAGGCATGCCAGGGCCAAGTTTGAAGATCCCTGCTATAGCTGAACGTGCCTCAAATTTACACTCAATCAAACCTAGCCCTGGGTGCTATGGAAGTCCTGAACTTTGATAGCAGTTCAAGGCTAAATTTCTCCTCTACAAATGTTTGGCCAGTCTTGTGCAATACCACAGTCTCTAGCATGAAGGGCAGAATACCCTGCTTCTGGAAATTTGATGAATCTATATGCTATGTTTTGCTCCCAACCAAACTAGAGGACTAATTAAGGGGTAGAGGATTAATCAAGGGGTTAAGCTAAGGCAGGAAGCTAGCTGTCCAGTCTCTCTTTTCTATATGAACCCAGTTTTTTTAAACCTCTTCCTACAAAACTGTGGAAGTCTCCCAATCTTTACTGAAGCAGTTATATAGTGGTTTTATTTTCCTTTAGCCAGCATAAGGGCTGTATGTTCCTGAACAAAAACTTCTTAATTCCAACAATTGCCAGCTAAAAATTAATGGAATTAAAACATTTGCCTTCTCACTGTCCAACACCTCACTCTCTGGAGAAAGAGGCTTGGTAGATGCAGAATTATCTCTTTAATCTTTTCTAGAAAAAAGAAGGCAGTTACCACCCATTATTTTCAAAGGTGGTTGAGAAACATATGTATATTTGTATATTTACATCTGCATCTACATCTTTATATCTCCATCCATCCATCCATTTATTTTTCACAGTTTTGGTGGTGTTCTAGGAAGAAAATTTCCATTTTAAAACTTTAAACCCTGAAGTTTTAGGAGGAAGTGGTAAAATTAGATATGTTTCCCCTTACTCCTCAGCATCACTAACGTTTGCATTGTTTTGCTTTGGGGATTGTAGTGCACTCACTGGTGCTTCATAAACAATGAGGTCACTTTGGAAAACAATTTGCTAAAGAGTTGTGGGTGGCTGTGAATGGCTTTGGCATTGATTACACTGTTTGCTTCATTTTTCTTCTTCAGAGCTCAAGTCCCGCTCTTTCTTCTGCTGCTTAATACAACTTGCTTCCAAGTCTTAAATTTCTTCATGTTAAATTAATTTTATTCATTTCAAAAATTTAGAACTGTATAATGATTCTGGGTATTGTCTCTTTGTGTATGTGTATATTTGTAAAAATAAAAATCCATATATTGCTAGCGTGGCCCAGGTTAATATTGAACATTATTTTACAGTTGATTCTTGTTATTTGCAAATTCCATACTGCAGATTTATCTACTCACTAAAGTGTATTTGCAAAATCAATTCTTATGATGCTTTTGCAAACATGCCAAGGAGCAAAAATGTGAGTCACCCAACACACACATTCCCAGTTGGTATTCACTAATTCAGTGATTGCAGCAACTTTATAAAATGCAACTACTGCATATAACAATAATTCTTTATAATGAGGTAATCAATTGAGTGTGGCGTGTTCTATTTAAAATGAGGCCTTTGTGAGCAACCATGCCTAAATGTCAGCAATTTTATAAATCAATATAGTTCTGTGGTAGCTATTTTGAGGTGGTCATTGATACCTCCCAAGGAAATATTCCAAACCTCAAACAGATTGACTAGTTTTTCAAGTTTGTTTGTTTCTTTATTCAATTTATAAGCCATTTATCTTACATATGTGACTCTAGACAACTCACAATACGAAAATACACAGTATAAAAAAGAAAACACAAAAGTTGACCATCAGAAAACAACTATCAAGATAGCCAGGAAATGGGCTGTGTCACATGACCAGGGCCCCATAATTGGGCATCCAGTTTTCAGGGCCTTATAAAAGGTTAGTAAAGATATGGCTAATCTAATCTCACAGGGGATATTGTTACAAAGGGCAGGTATCATGGCAGAAAAGGCTGTCCTGGGCTCTGCCAGCCAGTCCTCCATGAGTGGTGGTACCCAGAGCATCCCCCTTCTGCTGAATGGGGTAGAGACAATTGAGGAGAGATGGTCCTATAAGTAACCCATAAATTGGATTTTAAAAGGTCGCTACAGCAAGTGTAACTATCACTTCTATATGTTTTGGTCTAGTGGCCTGCATCAGTATTGAAATAGAAAATTCTGAACCATCTTCAAAATCAAGCCTATATAAATACATTAAGTTAATGAAGCTTGGAAGCAACTTGATACATCAATATCCAAAGTCAAATCTGTCTGGTAAGACAGATTTGTTGCTGGCATACTAATTTAAGATAGTATAATGTACTCTTACTCAAGAATATGTAGATCTACACAGCAGGTAAGCCCATCTTGCATACATTGTTCAGGGAAAGTATAAAAAAACAAATATTGTAATTCATACTATCACCTGTGTTGGTGAATTCTTCAATTCATAGTAATTTAATTTCATTAGGGTTGAATTGTGTTTTATTCAATGTCACAAATAATTTGGTGGAAAATTTAAATACTCTTTCACAAAGTGCAATTAAAAGCAGCTGAAAGGTGAAAAAAGAGCCAAAAAGAAAAGGAACAAGAAGCTCCTCTTCTCTTGCATCTGACTTTCTCTTCAAATT